GGAAACAAAATATTCAGTCACTGAGTAAGTAATCAACCAGTGGAATTGTGGAACATAATACGTTTATTTACTAGTTTTCATGTCGTGTATCGGTTAAGGGAAGTGTTGTCTCTTTTCTTGAGCTTACGAAGGTACGATCATACTTGCATGATTTTGATAAATACGCTAAACTTTAGTTAACTCATAGACAACTTAACACATACCCAGTCACATGGTCAATAAAATCAGGTTATGTGTATTTACGGGCTTGACATACAGGTTTTAATTTTAAGTGTATTTATCTGTACCTAGCAATACCATGTTTGTTTAAATCAAATCGTTATCAAACATTTATTTTTGCCTCATGATAGATAAGAGTGAATAAAGTACATAACAGTGCATCCGTTTGTCCTCTCTGCCCATCGTTTGGTGTGCAACTCCATTATGAGGAACTTAAACAAAGCGAAAGAGTCGATTGGAGATGGAGAACGCTGTGCCTCCTTTTGTGGTTGAAGGAGTATCAAGAAAGCCGAGATACTGACACCAGTTATCCTGTTTGATCGTAATAATATCTCATTAGGTGGCCCTACAATTCTCATGTTCTGGCCTTGTTTTTCGTTTTTATTGTTCTTTAAACTCATAGTACGTGGTTAGATTTCCGAGTCAGCTCGAATGTCTAACCAAATTGAGAGTGACATTTATGTTTTTTGTATCCGTGATTAGACTTTCTGTATTTGTTGAATAAACAAGTTATTTGTTCACGATTTCTCTTTCTCAATTGATGACAGTTAATTTCACTGGACTTCATTATTGCTTTCGGACATTTGTGCTCAAGAAATGACCAATATGCTTTTCAAGAACTAGCGATGATCATTATTTGAATGAAGTAAAGGGTAGGTTAACACTCTACTTCTTTATTTGCTCCAACGGAAAACAACCTAAATGGATTATGGGAGAAATTTCTGTTCACTGGCGCATAGAGATTCGACGCATGTTACGCCTTGGACTGTAAGTGCGTAGTCTACGAAACAAAAAAAATGGTAGAAATATAGTCATAAAAGTACGGAAGACACAATCAGCATCACACATCAGTAGGACACGTCAGACTTACACTTGTCCACCTACCGATCGGCTTGTATCATAGACACGATAGAACGTATCTCAAGAGCTTAGCTCTGTACCGCAACTTACAGCGCCACAGTTTTTCTCAGCATATTATGGTTGACGGACATCGAAGACACTCATCCTAAATGTGCGATACATTATAGCAACTCACGTTCAATTGAGTTTGCTCTCACCTAACTCGGTTAAGCCGTTTTATTAACTTATTAAACGGACAAAGTCACCTGCACTATAATAACTTATTGTATCCTTATTACTGTTGCGAATGTATGTACCTTTATTATTGTTATCCTTGTATGAATATGTATGCTCGGCAAGGCTTACTGCCTACTCATTTATTCACGCTACTAGCTTTACTATTAACCGCTTAATTGACTCGATGATTCATTAATTTCATTATGTATATATATGTCCATGTTATTCATATTCATTACTCGCTCGCTCGTTCATTCACTCGCTCGATCGCTCGCTCTTGCCCTTGCTCTCTCTCGCTCTCTCGCTCGCTTGCCTGTTTGCCTTTCGGCACAACTATTTCATGCTTGCTTAACGCATCTGTAATTTCGGATATCTGTGTGTGGTCCCTTAATAAACGTAATTAACGCTTCGAATTCGCCTTCTGATTAATATACCGTTGGAGCATTATTTGGTGACGGTTACCGAGACAAACTGTATACGGAGTTCAAGGAATATATCGAACACCGACCACCACAACATCTAGCATAACCAGTTTATCAATGTTATTGAAACTAGTCATTTAAGACACTAAATCCTGTTTCGTTAAACACAAATGTTCTGTTTAACGAAACCTTGTGACTCGTATTGTAGGTAAGAATCTATTCATTTCATAATATCGAATGATCATTTTGCCTAAATCTTACGACACATCAGGCTATGAATGAAGCTTTAAATGAAAGAAAATGTTCAGATTGTTTATTTAAATGACCTTATTGAAAAACAGACCACTAATCGTCAGTCACATCCTACTCATTGTATGATACCACTATGAAATATATTTAGTCGATATATTCACTCTCTCTGTCTCTCTGTTGATGTATATATATATATATATATATATATTCAATGCAACTGTCGACAACCATTTGTAAATAACTGTAAACATGATGCAATCAAACGAACACATCACCATTTGCTTTGCAGTAATGATCGGTGAGTTTAATACTTTTAAATTGATATTTGTTTCTTTTTGTATAACTAAGATGTATTTATGGCCTATGCTCCATTGAGAGTAATAGGCGTAAGTAAGCAAGTAAGTAAAATGTATTTATAACAATTGAGAAACTATTAATCTCGAGACAAGACTGTTTGTTCTAGTGTAAATCCAACGTTTCACCTGACAACCTGGTCCAAACGTTTTTCAAATACAAATACATTCCTCCTGTTTAATGTCTCACATCAAATCGGTGCCCAAATATTGTGAAACTATTCGATCAAATTTAGACGAATGTTCTTATTTATCATTTTGCAATCGCATCAAATGATAACTGAATAGTTTGATAAAGGCGTAGTGGTAACATGCATTACATTAATCTTACTCCTGTATAACTGAGATATAATTCAAACTGATTGGTTAGTGATGTGCCATTGTTTACAACTCTGTGGTCAGTAGGTTATGAGTAGTAAGGAAGCATCAGTCATTTTTTGTAACAATGTGTTTCGTTGACAATTATAAATAATGATGGTATTTTACGACACATAATCAGTAGTAAGTGAACTATAAAAGTGCAAATAGTGGAGAGCAGATTATATAACAATCTCCAAAACTCAATTAGTTTATCAATGACCATAATGGAGAGACATCCACTGGGATATTAATTGTATATTGAAAACTAAATAAGATTTAAACAATAAAATAAGCGATATTGAATTCGTAGAACGACTGTTCGATCCAGGAAAATGAAATTTATATATGCCTATTGCATCAAGGTTGCTAGTGCCATTGACAGCATTCATTCTAGTCAATCACTTGAGATTGCACTCACTCACTTATCACGATGGAGTAATCTAGGTTAAATGACAGAAGCGTTGTGTGACTTCGATGTGAACAAACAGAGCATGAGATTTTTGTCGAACTCGAGTGTGTCCTCACCAACGAACAGTATAGATCGCGTACGTTGGTGATGTACACTATGGCTGTTTGTTGTGCAAGATAAAACAGGCATTTCAATTAGGTTCAATTTGTAACACGTATCTCACAATGGAAATTCATATTCACATATCATATCGCATCATATTTCTCTTCATGTTTTACCAATTTTACTAGTATTCACGTCACTACACACGGTAAATGGACAATATAAACCTGCATATTTGGAAACAAATATGGTTGCAAGTGAGTATGATTATAATAATTATGAATAAACATCCAAGTATAATGTCCTCACTACAAGCATTCACTTCAATTGCCTTTAAATTATCACATTTCTGAAGTGGTCATTCCCTATTCCCATCATGATTCATTTTTGCTAATCTTATGATAACGACAATGATTGAAATTATTGTAGGTTGATTGTGACTGCACAAACGACAGTTTATTTCAGTAGTTAAACGAAGTGATCACCAAACGCTATATTACTCGTGATATCACTGAACTAAATCATCAAGGGATTAACAACACTGTTCAAATGACATCGAGAGTGTGTGAATCAACTAAAAACTAATATAGAATCCCATTGACAGTTACATCTGAAAATCAACAGTATTTCAAGATGAACTTACTCAGTGAAGGCCAATGAAGAAGTCGTATGAAAGGGCTTTATGAAAAGTGGTGATAAATATAACTAGGCATAGAACAATTCAATCCACAGAACAATACATGTATGCATATGCAGTGGATAGTCCTAAAGATAATTGATATTCTACAATCATCATCAGCAGCATACACTTGCATAACCGGAATGGAAATAAATCAAACATCGTTAATGAAATACGCTAATTATGCTGTATCTTAACATTCGTATTTTTCAACCTCACTCAAATATTCAGGTTAATAAGATAAACCATTCCGAAGACACATTTGAAATCGGATAAATCAGGTGAACGATGAACTGTCTTGATGCACCAATCTATCTAGTACACATTTGAACAAGTGAAGTTCTTGACAGAGTTACAGACATCGTGTTTGTTGTCACAGTTAATTGTGTCACTCAATGCCAATCGTTCAGAAACGTGTGTGTATGTATGCTGATCAGCATGCATTTCTCAGTGCATATAAATATGTTACTCGTCGACTACTCGAACCAATATTCGATGGTCACTGAATATCTTCGAAATATATCACGTCTGATATGAATCTGCAGCGTAGGTAATTGAGGAGGACTATGTTTAACCCAATTAATAATCCACAATGAAGACAAGACGTGAGACGTTGTATTTCATGCATCATTATTCACTTTTCCAACATAATTGATTTGTATGTACACTCATCCATCTGTGCATTGGACTAAGAACATCACAATAAAAATAGAATGATCTCCGGATAGCTTATTTTGTATTTATTTGTGTTCTCCTAAATATACATATTTGTATGTGATCGAAATCCTAATTTCGGTTGTGCACGATGAATTGCGATAACTTACCCACCATACGTTCATCTTAAACTTGTACAATCAAAATTGTTCATTCTGTAAACCAGATCTCGTATCAAACTGCTCAACTGCACACATAAGAGATATCTCCAATCATTTTAGACGACATCAGTTCATAGAGTACAGAAATTTGAGTATCAGTGCCATGAATGTCATCACATTAGATAAGTAGTCATACCTATTACATTAATTACACCCTAATCAAACTCTCAATTCCAAGTGTTTTGTCTCCATTTTCAAACAGACTATGCAAATACAAACACTTTCCGCGTAATTCAAGAACACACAGCAGCCATGGCCTTCGAATGGAAAACAATGACGCACAAAAGTTTCGGTTATGTCTTCTTGCTTCAAGACATACCCAATTGGTTTGATCAATCGGTGAAAGTTTACGAAGGCAATGTAGGTTTATTAGAAGCTATTGGCAAACCATGCGAACATTCAAAATATCGTGCGGAGGGATACACCAATGACTTCTTCTTTCCTTCTAATTTCGAGACCTTCCACATGACATACAAAAGAAGTGAGTTGTTTCTAAACTCTTACGTAGTGATCAACTTTCCAATCTCTGTTCCATTTTCACCACAGTTATACAACATTCGAATTCCGTGTTGAAATTTTCAGAGATCACAAGTTTTGTGGAATGTTTGATTGCATTTCTTGTGATGATTGTCAATCTCTGAATACTTTGTAACGAAGCCACAGTACTGCTCCGTTTGATACGTTCTCCATCAAATCACTGTGTTCATCTGCACAGTGACAATGTCACAGTGCATTCATTTTGTTCTCACTTTGTTCGTTTCATTCCTTCCTAGTTCCGAGAATCAATAATGCTCAAATTCAGTTGAGGTCAAATCTGTATTCACATGTGAAGTGGGAAAGAGAAGGAACAAACTGTGGACCAACTGATTCCACCATTATATTCAGAGGATATTCCACACAACCACTACAGATGTATGTCATCACGAGCAATGAAATTGAGTATTATGCGAACGACTTCAAAGCAGAAGAAGGAATGGAAGAAGTGTTCATTGTGTTCAACAAACATGAAAACCGTTTCTCTCTACCGACGATGGGTAACAATTTCTTTATGTTTCTTATGCATTGCAAGATTTTTGTGACAAGCAATATTGTGGAAGTAGAAAGATGTGTGCACATGTAGTGAAATCGCACATGTTTGTCAGTCGACAAATTTAACAGGAATATCTATCACAGTGGTTGTCTCTGTTCACATCTGATTCACACAAATGTAATTCAGATGTACGGTACAAAGAATGTTGTTTCTACGTGAATTAACAGTGCCTGCCATTACAGAGATATCGAATTTATTCACTGACAGTTATCTGCATAATCGCTCATTGTCACAGTTCACTGATCGGTGTAATCTAATCATGACGATTGACATCATTATAATATATATATTTCTAGAATAGAAGAGTTGGTTTGAATGACCACAATGTTGCTTTAGTTTTCCAGTTTCCGTATGTGATCAAGCAATGTGATCATGACAGTTTGATGAAATTCTTGGGGACACACTTACTTACAATGGAATTCAGGTTTTAAACATTTCTCCACGTAAATGTGTCTCATCTCAACACTCTGAGTTTTGCGACATCACGAGTAGAGTCACTTTTTATGGTCATCTACACCGATAACTTCATTTTCACAATGATGATTGACGTGAATCATTGCAGACGTTCACAGACAAATAATAACCACTGGTCCACATGTGAATGTCACACTAACTCTGGTCATCACAACACACGATTTATGTAGAGTTAACCAAGACACCACAGTGATCATTTACACATAGTGGGATCATAGGAACGAAGCTGAAGAAATTGTAGATTGAAATCCATCCCACCAGTAATCTGTTTCATTCAGCTCTGTTCAGCACAATTTTGTCTATTCGACATTCCATTTCCAACTAATAAACAAACTCTTTCTTTTCAAACTTCTCTCTTTCCTACCGCAATCCAAATGAATATGCCATAAATGTGAGTTTACTGATTACATTTTCAAACACAAGAAAATATTTTGTTCAGTTAATTCCTCACTGGATGTTCGATGAGTATGAGATAACTAGTTCCTTCTGACCTACATACAGGGTGATGCTGCATCCGAACTGTGTTCTATCCATCAATGAATCGTGTTTGTAATGTAGGTTCATCATGAACTCACATGTTGTTTGATGTTTGTAGAGAGACCACATGAAACTGTCTCCAATCGAACTGTCTGAATATTGGTAAACATTGGAAAAGATTTGAGATTGACCAACATCCCTTCCCAAGTAATCTGATTATGTTCAAGTGAATTCTCAACATCACACACACCTAGTCACCATATTGTTTTCATTGTTTTGTAGAAAATAAAAGCCAAATGTAAGTTCATGTAACGTTTCTGTATGTATAGCAGATCAATGTTTACTTCGCTTCTTCACTAATCTTAACATTTTCAGTATGTAATAGATCACAGTTGCTGTCACTCTAATCTTTTCATGACATTCTCATTATTGATTTAGTCACTTGAACGAATTACCAACACAGTCATGTGTATTCATTGTTTGCATTTACCAGATAAAAATCCGGTGTGGAAAGTGAACAAAGAACAATCAACAAACAAAACAAAACGTGAGATAATTACATATACGATTAATCTATTATTCCCCATGTAAATCTCACTAGATTATGAGAAGTTTCGAAGTATTTATGAAAGTGGAGATGCTCGGAGGTTAATAATTACCATGCTGGTTGAACAGTTATGAAATATTGAGACAAAATACACGTGACTAACTGTTGAAGGGATAAACACTAGAGAGTCACTCTCATCTCAGTATATAGTGATTAAATACTAAACCATAGAATTCAACTCACTACTTTGGAAACCTGTACTGTGTACAGTGAAAATGAGAAGAATGCGCATAATTGTATTCCACGGTTTCCGTGGACTCACCACTCATCTGATCGTATTGAACACAAAAACGTGTCATTCATGACACGTGTATGTGGGTGTGTGTGTAATGTTGGTTGAATGAATGTGTCAGTGATATCTGTGCAAGCTGAATGATGGTAGAAGTAAACGTGGTCTCGCTTCACATCAACATTCTAGCATGAATTGGTGATTTGTGTATATTCTGTTGGTTGAGTCGTTCGTCAATACGTGATTTGGCTTTCTGTGTTTATTCAATTTATCTAGCATCTGTGAATGTCACGGTGAAGAATGAGGACATGACTAAGTTCACAACGGGTAGGTATTTCACCTAATTCACATTTCTTCAAACCTTCTCTTTCTAATAATGCATGAATTTTCCTGCCTTGATCAATACATCTTTTGCATTTGATTATGCTTTTATAGTAGTTATCATTAAGTTAATTTTCAATTTCAGTAATAAATTGTGTCAATTTAGTGTTTCCACTTCACCTATATGATCAACATTTCTATGATAATTGAAAGTATTTGAATTATAGTATGAACTAATAATCCCAGAAATAACGCAATTGAATCAAGAAGTACTACACAAGCACTAAGGAATGTATTGTATTTAGAATTCGAAATCAAGCATTCAACAAGTACAAAGCAATCATTAGTTCATTCAAACACTACAATTTCTTAATTCATCATTTGTCAAAAACAAGAATACATCAATTTAGTTTAATATCCGTTAAAGTTTCAATAGTTCTTTGTAATACATTTAGTCAAAATGTAAAATTTTCTGGTTTGTTAAAAATGTACTAATGTAAGATAAAATCTACAAATTGAGTCCATTATCAAAATGACTTCATAATAACTAAATATAGTTACTTATATTTTTTCTATATGGTTGATACAACGCAATTCAAATTCCTTTATCGATTTTGTGTCCTCTTACTTCCAACTCAATCTGTGAGGACTTGGCTTGTGACTCAGTTTTGTGCGTTCCTCAATGTGTGTCTTATCGATTGCCAGTATTTCGCCTTGATTTCTTCCTTCGCCGGATTCTGGTTTGTTCTCTCCCACAGTTGACTGTTGCTAATAGTGTCTGGCCAACAGATCTGAAATATTATGTGTAGGCAAATGTTAATAGATACGTGTATTTTCTGGATGATGGCATTCGATATTCTTCAAGTTTCGGCCTCCTACAGTAAAACTGTCTTGACATCTGTACTGAAATTGCTCACTTTAGTGTTGGTTGACAGTTGTTTTGAGCTCTAGATGTACTTCAGTTGAAGATGTGCTGCTCTTACCTTGCCAATCTTCATCTTTACATCTGCAAAATCTGAGAACCATACAGTAAATACTTCATTTGCAAAATGTCAATCAATTGTCTCAAAATTGACTGTTCGGTTCGAAAATATCAGTTAATGGTCTCAGACTTCATTGTTCCTCCACTTCTACATCAATCATTATTTGCTCTCACTCTCTATTCTACGAACTTCCTAATCTCCTGATGCCAGCCATTTCACTGCCCATCGATGAGACATACTACTTATATCTATCGACATCACTAGCATACACCACAATTCGATGTTTCAATTCAAAACATGTCTCAATTGAAACTATTCGCTCTCCAATGACTAACACAAGATGATGTTTTCTGTTGAGTGTCATGAATTGTATTATCTCCTCTTGTGAGATTATTGAACTGAATCCATCACATTACACTTGTGTTGATCTCTTATTTACAGCATCCAATATAACAGCATCATCATTTCTAGAAAATGTCAGTACTTCATGTAAGTAAAGTCTTCACTGTTAGTTCTGTATTCATGTGCATCACAATCAGTTGTATATTTTCTCATACATCCAAACTATCCGAACGTATTCGTACACATTGAATGCTACTCTCTACATATCAGTATTTTCACAGATATCTCGTTTAATAAAGTCAAGTCGCATAGTTCAAATCCTATTCAGAATGTGTACACTTGTTCAACACAATCATATAGACGACGTTCATTTGACTGACATTTGATCATTTATGTCAATTCAGATGTAGTTCTATTTGTGTAAATGTAGATCACGAATCATCTCACGTTCTCATGCAAACTTCTAACTAATCGTTAATTCATTCTCAAATCGATAAATAAATTTGAATTCTTTGTTATTGATATTTTCTTTCTCAGATCTCCTCATATCCACATTGATTTTGATCATTTTCGTGGTCAGCATAGTTTTGTTCTTTGTAATGAAGAAGTTATAACAACAATTGTGACGTGTATTTTTCTGTGTGACCTCTCTCTGCGTGTGCCTGTGTGCCTGTGTGTGTGTGTGTGTGTGTAATTCTGTCAAACTGTATAAGACTTTCGTTAAATTATATTCAATAAAAACATGATACTGAAGTTTATTCCTTTTCGGAACTCAATATACAGGAACAAGGAGTAGTTGAGTGAACAATTGTCTTTAACAACTAGGTCATCGAACACTACATCCACCATTCTACAATTATGGTGTTATTTAACCAGGGCCAAACTAAGGTATCGAACAATGAATCAGATCGTGTTTTATGTAAACAATGGCGAACTTTGCATCTGTTATGGCATAAATGCTTCAAAATTGTCATTCGTAATTTGTAAATGTTGTTCACGAAATTCCACAATTTTTCGTTCTGAGGTATCGAATTAAGGTCAAAGCAATAGTAATATAATGCGTATCTGGGGAATTTTGTCTGATCAATGGGGATAATATTAATAATGTCGTATGAATATAATAAGTAATAAGAGAAGTGTTATAAGTGTGATTATGTTAAGAAATCCATGTGAATTCGGAAGGATGAATGTGTGTATTGAGAACGATCTAAATGTGAGAAGAATGCGTTAGAAGCAATGGTTGTTAGTATTGACGATGTGTGCGATCTGTCACGTTAGGGTTGTTAAATGCTTCTATGATGATCATGACTGGAGCATTTGAAATTATAGTCAGAGAAGCTTTCTAACCGTTCTCGAGTTTCTACCGCTCAACACATTTGTTGCTCAGAACTCAAACTAATCAGCATATGCACAAGAGATGAATAATGGCAGTAATGCATAAGAATCTCCGGAGCAATTTATACCTTGACAAATTCGCATATTGGTAGGCATTGAGATCCAGCTTTGTTGTCTTCCCTCTCAGGACTAGTAAACTGAAGTGTACACGAAGACACGAACCGAATACACATTTCGGTACAAACACCAACGCATTATCCATTCAGGTCTTGAGATTCAACAGCCACTGACGTATACAATCTGAGAACGAAATCATGTGAAATCTTTATGGCCAGTAGAATGTCACTGAGTCATAAGCAATCCATCCAGTGATCAGATGGCTGGTCGTCGGTTAGTTCATAGATCAGCGTGTCAAGCAAAGTCAACCAACGCTCATTATTCGATCACATGTCATGGATGTACAATAGGGCTGTTTGTTGTGCAAAACTAAAATATATATGTATATTGCATCAAAATACAACAGGCATTCCAATTAGGTTCAAGATGTTAAATGTATCTCACAGTGGAAATTCATATTCACATATCATATCGAATCATATTTCTCTTCATGTTTTATCAATTTTACTAGTATTCACGCCATTACACACGGTAAATGGACAATATGAACCTGTATATTTGGAAACAAATATGGTTGCAAGTGAGTGTAATGGAAATTCATCAAACATCATTAATGAAATACGCTAATTATGCTGTATCTTAACATTCGTATTTTTCAACCTCACTCAAATATTCAGGTTAATAAGATAAACCATTCCGAAGACACATTTGAAATCGGATAAATCAGGTGAACGATGAACTGTCTTGATGCACCAATCTATCTAGTACACATTTGAACAAGTGAAGTTCTTGACAGAGTTACAGACATCGTGTTTGTTGTCACAGTTAATTGTGTCACTCAATGCCAATCGTTCAGAAACGTGTGTGTATGTATGCTGATTAGCATGCATTTCTCAGTGCATATAAATATGTTACTCGTCGACTACTCGAACCAATATTCGATGGTCACTGAATATCTTCGAAATATATCACGTCTGATATGAATCTGCAGCGTAGGTAATTGAGGAGGACTATGTTTAACCCAATTAATAATCCACAATGAAGACAAGACGTGAGACGTTGTATTTCATGCATCATTATTCACTTTTCCAACATAATTGATTTGTATGTACACTCATCCATCTGTGCATTGGACTAAGAACATCACACAAAATAGAATGATCTCCGGATAGCTTATTTTGTACTTATTTGTGTTCTCCTTGTTATAACTTTAGAGGGACGTGCAATTTGAGGAGAGAGAGAATTATTGATCGGACCAAAGACGCGTAAAACACATAAGAACAGCCTAGAGTTCTGGTTGACCCCGCTTCCCTGTCTAGCCCAGCCAGTTGAGTCCAGAACGCAAGTCACAGCCTCTGTGATCTGAATCGTTCTATTTCAAACATACACTGTTTATATACCAAACAAACAGACTACATCGTACCATAAAATAGAAAGTAACATTTGTACAAGATTTGACCTCCAGAAAATGACACAAATAAATATTGAACTACGGGAAAATGACACGTTAGAAGAATATTGACCAATGGGGAAATGACATCATTTCTCATTCAGGAATAGCATTAGATAATTTCTGGGGAATTTTCTGAATACCCCAACACTCCTAAATATACATATTTGTATATGATCGAAATCTTAATTTTGGTTGTGCATGGTGAGTTGCGGTAACTGACCCACCATACGTTCATCTTAAACTTGTACAATCAAAATTGTTCATTCTGTAAACCAGATCTCGTATCAAACTGCTCATTTGCACACATAAGAGAAAATCTCCAATCATTTTAGTCAACTATCAGTTTATAGAGTACATGAATTCGAGTGTCAGTGCCATCAATGTCATCACATTAGATAAGTAGTCATACCTATTACATTAATTACACCCTAATCAAACTCTCAATTCCAAGTGTTTTGTCTCCATTTTCAAACAGACTATGCAAATACAAACACTTTCCGCGTAATTCAAGAACAGACAGCAGCCATGGCCTTCGAATGGAAAACAATGACGCACAAAAGTTTCGGTTATGTCTTCTTGCTTCAAGACATACCCAATTGGTTTGATCAATCGGTGAAAGTTTACGAAGGCAATGTAGGTTTATTAGAAGCTATTGGCAAACCGTGCGAACATTCAAAATATCGTGCGGAGGGATACACCAATGACTTCTTCTTTCCTTCTAATTTCGAGACCTTCCACATGACATACAAAAGAAGTGAGTTGTTTCTAAACTCTTACCCAGTGATCAACTTTCCAATCTCTGTTCCATTTTCACCACAGTTATACAACATTCGAATTCCGTGTTGAAATTTTCAGAGATCACAAGTTTTGTGGAATGTTTGATTGCATTTCTTGTGATGATTGTCAATCTCTGAATACTTTGTAACGAAGCCACAGTACTGCTCCGTTTGATACGTTCACCATCAAATCACTGTGTTCATCTGCACAGTGACAATGTCACAGTGCATTCATTTTGTTCTCACTTTGTTCGTTTCATTCCTTCCTAGTTCCGAGAATCAATAATGCTCAAATTCAGTTGAGGTCAAATCTGTATTCACATGTGAAGTGGGAAAGAGAAGGAACAAACTGTGGACCAACTGATTCCACCATTATATTCAGAGGATATTCCACACAACCACTACAGATGTATGTCATCACGAGCAACCAAATTGAGTATTATGCGAACGACTTCAAAGCAGAAGAAGGAATGGAAGAAGTGTTCATTGTGTTCAACAAACATGGAAACCGTTTCTCTCTACCGACGATGGGTAACAATTTCTTTGTGTTTTTTATGCATTGCAAGATTTTTGTGACAAGCAATATTGTGGAAGTAGAAAGATGTGTGCACATGTAGTGAAATCGCACATGTTTGTCAGTCGACAAATTTAACAGGAATATCTATCACAGTGGTTGTCTCTGTTCACATCTGATTCACACAAATGTAATTCAGATGTACGGTACAAAGTATGTTGTTTCTACGTGAATTAACAGTGCCTGCCATTACAGAGATATCGAATTTATTCACTGACAGTTATCTGCATAATCGCTCATTGTCACAGTTCACTGATCGGTGCAATCTAATCATGACGATTGACATCATTATAATATATATATTTCTAGAATAGAAGAGTTGGTTTGAATGACCACAATGTTGCTTTAGTTTTCCAGTTTCCGTATGTGATCAAGCAATGTGATCATGACAGTTTGATGAAATCCATAGGAAATCCCTTCATTACAATCGAATTCAGGTTTCTGAAGTTGCTCAGTAATTTAACTGAGTTTTGAACATTTCTCCACG